AAATTTTGCACTGCCTCAAACGAGGAACAAAGAGGTTTTTGATGATTTTGAAACGTTTTCACAATACAAGCAGAAGACACAGGGAGGAAGCAGGAGGGGAACAGAGCAGCTGGAAAGAGCGAGGCAGGGTAACGAAAGAGAGGTTGGAAGAGTACACAACCGAGGCCCATAACCTATTAAAGGTGTATGTCCAGTACAGTGTAATGTGTGTGGACAAGGCGATTGTCACAGAGGTATCCAACCAATCGAAGTGCATACGAGAACATGGATTGAAGCAAGGCAAAGGAACAAGACAGAACAAGACAGAAGGAGGGAAGTGGAACGACCGAGGTCAAGAAGGAAAATGGTACCGATCCAGGGAGATCGCTCCCATTTATAGCAGGTGGAAACACACACACACACAGTGGAGACAGAGAATGGACTATCACACTGAAGACAGGTGGAAGCGATATCAGCAATCTGTTGGGACCAACAGATGCCTCAACAAGATGGTACAACCAGATGTTACACAACAAGGTGGGACAACATCAAGTACCAGAGGACACACAACGTGGTAAAGTATACCGTCTCAGATTGTGCCTCTAATACAAACACCTAATAATAATAAATTAGGTGTTTGAACCTCAGAGCTGAAAGCAAAGCTGTGCAACCCCGACATCAAAATCACTACGTCACGCAAAACAACACAAGAGAAAAAGTTACATTCACTGGCTTTTATCATGCCAAGAAGTACAAGCGCGAAGAATCACGCACATAGAAACAAAAATCGTACAAAACGACCAAGTATAACCAGAGATACGGCCATCTTAAACACAAGACACATAAAAAGGCAGTCACACATCACAACTACAAGCCATCACAGCACAAACACAATGAACACCACGGCACGCTCACATCCAACGAGACACAACGTCGGATTGAGAAAACAACCGACCACAGAAGACAAAGGCATCATACAAAGGACTTTACAAAAATTCAGCAAAAATACCACACAAATACAGCAAAAATTAAAGCAAAATTAAAACAAAAATACAAGTCAAGCCATCAAAAGACCACAACGAAAACCACCTAGGGAGCGACAGGTGCACACAGGGATCCCCACAGAGGGACCCCCGGGACGGTGCCTACCTACGACGAGCGCAGGCAGACACCGCCAAAGTGGCGCTGGATGTGGTCAGCGTTCATCTGATGGACCAGCGCCGCAAAGCGACCCTTCCATCGAGGAACAAACGCCTCATCCAGCCCGGGCTGGTACACACCACGGGCCTCGGCGCAGCGGGCGAGCTGACCAAGCAGATCCACAAAGGAGGAGGCGAACCCACCGGTTGTCGTCATCGCCGCAGGGACGATCAGAGTTTTTCCATGGTTGAAACCGGTGTAGTAGTCGCGCTTCTCCTTTTCGGCTCGGCGAAGGGCAGCGCCCACCTTGATGCAGGCTTGCGAGGTGGTCGGGGGTTGGGCTGTGCGCACAGTCACGTCAATGCCCAGGTCGGGCAGAGCTGGGCCCAGAGCACCGCCGGGAAAGGGGTTGCGGCAGTGCAGGTCGATGCGGCAGCTCTGACCGTTGGCGTTGTAGCCAGACTTTTCCACCCAGACATGGGAGAGGGTGGCGTACCTGAGCAGGCGGCCCATCTCGTCGCGAAGGGCGTTGTGACGCTTGATGGGACGGCAGGTCAGCAGGTGCTCGCGGGTTAGTCGCGGCTGAGGTGTCTTGCTGCTGCAGAGCGGGCACTTGTCCGTCGGCTTGACGTTGATGAGTTCATGGAGGCCAAAACCCATCATGGACACGACCGCAATGGCAAAGGTCGTTCGCTCAAGCGACGCAACTGTC